ATCTAAATTGTTATTGATTTAATTGAATAACACCTGATGCCAGGATAGCAACATACTTTTACTTACAACGGCTGGGGTTCCTGACCTCTCAAAACAGCTTTCATTCATCTGGTTCTTATGCAAGCATAGAGGTATCTGCATGATCTAGAACATTTTTTCTCAAACTAGGGTCTTCAAATGCCTCAGTGTTTGGGGTTTTTACGTTCTAAGAGAATTTTACTTTTTCGTTTCACTGATGATGGCATGTTTGTGAAGGGTGACTTGAGCAAACGGGCATGGAAAGTGAGAAGCAGGAAGGGAGGATGGGGGCAAGTTTCTGAAGAGTTTTGAATGTATATAAAGAACAGAAATCTTTATAGGAAGAGGTTAAGAGTAGCTATTGAACTGGAAGGGAAGACTTGACACTGCACTTGCACAGTAATTTACATAATATTTAGAAAGTGTCCACTGTCATATCGTAGAATGGGATTACCAATGGAGATTATGAGTTTTCCCTATTTAACCCACTTCTTGGTGCCTACTACTGCTAAGAAATTTGGTTTTTATCTTAAGTGCGATGAGAAGCTGCTACTATTTTTAAGCAAGAAGTGACATGATTGTGTACTGTGTTATCTTTATGGATTAGAATGAGAAGAACATTGGAGGCAAAGAGGCTATTCCTAATAACTAACTTTTTTTTTTTTTTTTTTTTGCTTTATAAGTTTATGGTACAAAATGAGGTCATATATCATTTAATATTAAAGGAAATGATTTTGAGATCCCATCCTAGTTATTCCAAGGGTGTCTTTTTTCCTTCCCTGTTGTTCCCCCCTGAGTTGGTTGCAGGAAATCCAGTGGTCCAATGAAGTCCCTGCCCACTGTATTAAAAATCAAGATGGTGGGACCAATTACTATTGCTTTTTTTCCTCTCTCTCTCGGTCTTAACTACCATTGGCAGTGGAAGTGACTGCAGTTGTGGAAGTGCAGGGCAGATTGGATTAATTAAAGCCCCTGCTTTCTAGCTAGAGGATGGAAAAGGGGAGCCTCAGGGAACTGAAAATACCAGGGAGAATCGTGGAGAGAGAAGATTGTGTGGAAGTAAACCCATAAAGTTGTTTATGAACTCCAGAGCTCACCCCAAGCTGTGTGTATGTGTGGTTCTGCTCCTTAATAGCATAATAAAGGCCTTGGGTGGGGGTGGCGGGGTTCAGTAAAACTAGTGGAATAAGGAACTCCAAAATTCTACCCCTCCATAAAAGCAACAACAACAACAAAAAAAAGACTGGCAGAGTCAACTTTTTCAGAACTCTGAAAATTAGCCAAAGGCTTACAGCAACTTCGGGAACACTTATTCAAGAAAAACAGCTGAATCTTGGTAAGAACATTTTAACTTACCCCAGTCCCGTCACCCACTCCTCAGCTCAGCAGTAGCCTTGAAAATTACAGCCCATATTCCCAATACCAAAGCAGAGAGGGTAGAAAGGAACTCATACACAAAGAATTGTAATTATTTGTGCCCCCACAAAGATAAGCTCAAAAGGCTTGTTTTTATTTCACCTGACTTGCCCGATGCTAACGCTGCTACCTGTGGGGCATTTGCGAAAAACATTTACAGGCAAATGTTTTAGTCTCTGCTGCCTGAGGTGATAAATAACAGTTGGGGCAAACAATAGACTAAGCAAAAAGCGTGGGAGGAAAGGCTGGGAAATAAGGAGTGTGAAAAGATCCAACATATTCTTGGAAATCTAAAGGACTATGTGCATGCAAAGGGCTGAGTGAATGCCCTGGAAAAACGTCACCTCTGGCTCACCTTGAGGCTCCGTGCAAGCAGAAGAGAAGGCTAAGGCAGAGATGTAAACTGCCCAACTGGTGTTGAAAATGTGTCTCAACACACACAGAGCCCCTCAGCAAAAACTGGGAGATTTTTGGGATATAGGCATTTAAGAAAATCTCCGTCCAGTCACTAGCTGACCACTAAGCTAATACAACAGAGACTTCAGGCAACATGTGACAAAGAATACAGACTTTAAAATAATTGGTTAAGAAAAATGACTAAACGACCAAACAATAACTACAATAAACAGCATCAACAACATACTCTTGTGGGGAGAGAATCTGATTTCCAGAGTTGTCACATTATTGTTACTGCAATAATGTGGACTGGAGCCACCTGCCGCAATAGCCAATTCTGAGACGGTGTGAGGTGAGCAGCAAGAGGTTTATTACATATCGATATATAGGAGACAGAGGGGAATAGATTCCTCCAAAAAACCCGTCTCCCCAGCTGGTGATTGCCTGAAGGCTTTTATAGGGACAGGATTATGGGTTTTAGAAGTTTGTGTTAGTTTCCCCTTGAGGTGGTCGTGTCTCAGATGAGTTAATCTTTTACTGGTATTCTTGGGGGTTATCTGGCGACATCCTGGTTTTCTTGTCACAAGATGGGTGCTTTGTTCGGGTTTTTCATCTTTAGATCATTATCACTTGTTTTCCACCCTCCAAGGAGGAGCATCGGTTAATCTTAAACCTTTTGTAGAGACTGGAACTGGAGGGAAGGACAAGATCATGAGACAATGTAGCGGTCAGCAATGGGGAGTGAATAATAGTGAGCTGGGCCTATGCAGTCTCTTCCATTATAATATTCAAAATGTCCAGTTTTCAATAAGAGTTATGAGACATGCAAACAAACAAGAAAGTATGGCCCATACACAAGGAAAAGAAATCAACAGAAACTATAATGATGGAAACTGATCAGTGGTTGCCAGGATTTGGAATAGGAGAAGGTATGGCTATAAAGCATGAGGGAGTTTGGGGCGATGATGGAACTATTTTGTATCCTGATCTTGGTGTTGGCTAAACAAATATACACTGCTGTTGTTAGGTGCCATTGAGTCGGTTCTGACTCATAGCGACCCTGTGTACAACAGAATGAAACACTTCCCGACCGTACACCATCCTCACAATCGTTGCTATGTTTGAGCCCACTGTTGCAGCCACTGTGTCAATCCATCTCATTGAGGCTCTTCCTCTTTTTCACTGACCTTCTATTTTACCAAGCATGATGTCCTTCTCCAGGGACCGGTCGCTCCTGCTAACATGTCCAAAGTAAGCGAGACAAAGTCTCACCATCCTCCCCTCTAAGGAGCATTCTGGCTGTACTTCTTCCAAGACAGATTTGTTTGTTCTTCTGGCAGTCTGTGGTATATTCAATATTCTTCACCAACACCATAATTCTATACATGTGTTAAAATTTATAGAACTGTACACCAAAAGAAAAAACGTCAATTTACAGGATGATAATTTTAAAAACAAGAAAATACAAAATTTGAAACGTGCTATATTAGAAATATGTCTTTAAGAGAGAATCAACTTTAAGTAGGGATGGAAGAGTAAAAAGACACCAGAAGAGGTGTGTCCTACCTTCCTACCACTGATGGAGCTTGGTAACTGATTCATGGGGGAAGGAAGAGATACTTACCTATATTTTACCAGTTTATTTATTTTTTAAATTTTGCACAGCTGAATTATCTCTTAATGTAGTGTTTGTTAAAGTATCTCAAGTTTGTTATGGTGGCAATGTGGTTTTTAATACAAAAGGAATCGTCAGGAGTACTAGATTTGGGGTGAGCAAGAGCCATTACATTTAACAGGGAAAATCAAGTCTTATCAGAAGTAATGGAAAGTTAATAGCGAAAAACTCTTCTGCTGGTACCTGAAATTCCAGGGGAAAGTGAACTCTTTGAACCTGTATTATGGGATGCTTTAACAGAGGGAAACCAGGACTTTTCATCCATGGAGAATTGGTCCTCTTGGTGGAAACTTCCAGGAAGCCAGACCCTTCCTGCTCAAATGATGTGGTTTCCTAAGGGGCATATATATAATCATTTCCCCATAAAAAGAATTGTTTAAGAACAGAAGCCAAGAAGCCTCCCACACATCAGAACCCAGCTGTCAAACATGGTTAACAAGCACAGCATCAGCAAAAGCGAACTCAGGGAGAATGTGAGCAGGGCAGCAGCAGAAGCAGCAGGAGGGGTGTAGAGCAGGGCAGTGCAGAGGAGTTAGCAAGGCAGAGAAAAGCACCAGGAAACAAGAAAGGGGGCAGCAGCCCATCAAGAGGGGGATAAAAGGAAAGAAAGTGAACAAGTGAGGAAATGTATAAGGATAGATAGAGAGGCTAGCAAAGACCTAACAGAACATAACAGAGACCTAGTAGAAACAGCCTGTAATGCAAGCCAAGTGACTCTGCTGTTAATTGCCACCAAGTTGCCCCAACTCATGGTGACCCCATGCACAACAGAATGAAACATTGTCCAATCCTGTGCCATCTTCATGGTCTTTGGTATGCTTAAGTCCATTGTTGTGGTCACGGTATATTTTGAATGCCTTCCAGCCTAGGAGGTTCATCTTTCAGCACTATATCAACCAATGTTCTCTTGTAATCCAAAGGGTTTTCACTGGTTAATTTTAGGAAGTAGATCATCAGGCCCTTCTTCTTAGTCTTAGTCTGGAAGCTCCATTGAACGCTGACAACCATGGGTGACCTTGCTGGTATTTTAAATACCAGTGTCATAGCTTCCTGCATCATAGCAGCTGGAAGCCACCACAGTATGACAAACTGACAGATGAGTGACTGCAAGTGAGTCTAGAGACTGTCTATACATTTCTAAGAAGAGACAGAAAAGTGGGAGAAAGTAAGAGCCTAACAGAATCAGGCCAAAGTGTTTACCTACACTTGGGAGTGAACCTTCTAGACCAGATCACCACATGACCCAGCTGGGAGCCAGGACACACCCCACCCCCACTGGTAAACAGTAAGCACAATGTGTGTTAACCATTATTTCCATTATTTTCTGATGTCCCTCGTAATATTTAGTAATCCTATCAGAAATATGTAAATTTGGAAAACATGCCCGAAGTTCATGATTCTCAAGACTGAAAATTCACATAGCAATAACATTGTCTTTTTATTTTTAATATGTAGTTAATCTTACTTAATAAATCTATTCCTTTGTATTCACCAGAGTTGAAAATATGTCAATGAGACTGGAAGAAATCAATGAAAGAGAAAACTTTATGAAAGCTTCTCTACAGACAGTTGACCTTCGACTTTCTCAACTAGAAGAATTCTCTAGCAGAATGGTGAATGCGCTTGAAAATCTTGCAGGAATTGACAAGTCTGACCTGATACAGACTCGGTCTCGAGCTTCTTCTGAATGCGATGTAACTTATCTTCTAAGGCAAAGCAGCGTCAACAGCGCTGATGGCTACAGCATGTACAGATACCATTTTAATGGAGAAGAGTTACTGCATGAGGATGCCTGTCTCTCCATGTCACCAGGGGCAGGATTAAGGAAAAAAACCTGCTCTTTCCGTATGAAGGAAGAGAAAGACACAAAAATGCACCTGGTACCCGAGCATCAGGGCAGCCTCTACCCACTACCTAGCAGAAGCCCAGCAGCAATACCAGAATGCAGCAGACCTGCCTCAGACAGCTTAAAGGACCCATCAGAGCCAAAATTAGGTCCAGACATTGGGATTTCAACCGAAGATGATGGAAGGCAGGCAGACTCTAAAAGCGAAGAAACTATTTCCCCAGATTTAAATCAAACATATGTTATGCATGGACAGAAGAAATCAGATTTTCAAAACACTCAGCTAACAGTGGAAACTACAAAGGTACAAGGCACTGTTTTCTGTCCCTTACAAGAAACAAAAATTACCCGCTATTACCCTGATGAAACTTTCAACACTTACAAGACAATGAAGTCCAGAAGCTTTGTATATTCTCGTGGAAGGAAGCTGGTCAGTGGGGTTAACAACTGCAGTGCAGAATACAGTTCAGTGTTGGACCAGGCAGGCCCTTCCACAGTACAACAATGGACAACAGAATTGAAATGCCAAGTTCAAAAGATTACACGTTCTCGCAGTACAGATATTCCTTCCATTGTGTCTGAAGCTGCAGTGCAAGCCGAGCAGTTTGCAGATACCAAAGATGAAGACTCTATTTCTGGAAGCGTCCCTCAAATCTCTTGTTTATCCCTAGCTGCTACTGACAGAACTGAAAAAGAAGATTTACTGTCTGTGAAACCAGATCAAGCTTTCGGATTTCCATCTATAAGGTCAAAAAGTTTGCACGGCCATCCTAGCAATGCTAAATCCCTTCAGGGTAGATTAGACAGATCCGGACATGCCAGCAGTGCAAGTAACTTAGTAGCTGTGTCTGGGATTACAACAGAGGGACAAAAAGCTAAGCAAGAGAAAACAGCCACAGAAACGGAATGCTAATGTGCTTTGCTTCTTCGATTTTTAAATCAGAACTACTAAGAGGCTATTTTGGCCATTTCAACAGCATAAATCTCTGAAAATATTTTCATTAAAAGTTTTTGATACTTTGAACCTATTAATTTAAAATGTAATGCACTAAACTTAAAGTAATATTTTGTTAGCCTATGTTAGTAAACTCAGTGTTTTAGTTGGAATAGGGTCAAATAAAAGTGACAATAATCCGACCAAGATAAATCAATACATAGATTCTACAATCTCCTTACTTCTAGGGCCACCAAGTAGCCTAAGAAATGCCATTGGGTGCCATCACCAATAGGTCACTTAAGGAGTAAGTAACTCTGCAAGAAAGAGAAATTAAAGAGAAAGCAAACGTGGAGGACAAAGGAGGGAGAAGGAGAAAAAGAAATTTATAAGGAGCAAGAAGTAAGAAGTGGAAAGGAGCCATAAACACCACGTTTCTTAGGTCTCACTCAAAGGAATAGTAGTTTAGTCTGCCTACTTCTGGCTTAGATGCTACCACTTGTTAGCCTCCGTTAAGAGCTCACTGAATATTCTTCAAAAATCATACGATGAAAAAAGTGTACAGTAGTATCAAACATCACACCCTAATGATTTCGGGTGACCAAGAGTTTTGTTAATGTATAAAAATAAAGTATCCAATATGTGTTTTTCTGTTGTCATATAGTCCTTGACAGTAAACACAAATTAATTGTACCCTTACCTATGAATTGTTTGTGCAAAGCTATAGCTAAAACTTAAAGAATACAAGTTCAGTGTGGGAATTGTCGAGAACCACAGAGACAAGTACATGGCTGAGGACACAAGGTGTTGGGCTTTTACTTGTACCTTCAAACAAACACCTACCATAGTACTAGGCATCCCCATTCAGTGGTGTAGGGGGAAAACTCCCTTGGAACCCATAAGATGACCCCCTCAACCACTCTTGTCTATACAAAAAAAGGGCCATAGAAGGGCAGAAAGGGGTCTTTTCTGGCTGGAGTAGAGGTCACCAACATTCACAGAGGGTGGAGTGGGATCCTGAGCTCTCCCCATCCTCCAACAGCATCTCTTGTAAGGTCTCAGGGAGCCTCTGGAACACACAGAGAGAGCTAGCCTCTTGCCTGGAATTACTGCCAGCTGTTAAATCAGTGAAGTACCTCATACACAGAAAGAATCATTGGGTAAAGTATCCAGGAATTGGCAATGAGAGGGTTGGGGGCCATGTCAGACGGGAAAAGCAGATGATCACAAAAAAGGAGACCACCAATCCCATTCTCATCTGAGGTGCAGGCCGTCACGCTGCCATAAGCTAGCAAGGGAGGAGAGAGAGAGAGGAGAAAGGGAGAGATCGTGTCCTGTTCCTCAACAACATCTCACTGAAATTATGCAGAAGAGATCAGAGATAATGACACCTTCTGACTGAATCTTTTTCCTCAAAATGAGAATGAGATTTTGATAATCAAAGTAGAATCCCTAAACTGGGCTGAATTTGTCAATGAGGACTAGGATACCATGGCATGGGTGGTGGGGCTTTGAAATTTAATGAATGATAACATTTATTTAAAAAATAAAACAATTGCTTATTTGCATATCACTAAATTGAGATCATTTAATCACTCCCACTACATTTGTATATTTGAGCCATTACACTTTACCTCATTCTTAAATCTTTCCTTTTGGTGCCCTTTACCATATTCTAGAAAAAAAAGATTTCTCAGGATAAACTGGAGAATCTGTAACAGCTCCATAAGCTGATCTGAAAAAGGGTAAAGCTAGTGTGTGGAATTCTCCACCTCCCTACTAATTACACAGTCCTCCTTACACAGGCCTACGGTTTCGTCAGTACTGAACATGTACAGACTTTTCCTCTTGTCATTATTCCCTAAACAATACAGTATAACAACTATTTACACAGCATTAACAGTATTAGGTATTATAAGTAATCTACAGATGATTTAAAGTATACGGGAGGATGTGTGTATGTAGGTTATAAGCAAATACTATGCCACTGTATTATATAAGGGACTTGAGCATTCACGGATTTTGGTATCTATGACGGGTCCTGGAACCAATCCCCCTCGGATACCTAGGGACAATTGTAATAATTTTCTATGGGATTTGTCTTCTTTTCTGTCACTTATTTTTATGTGGAGTGGGTTCTACTGATTTTTTTCCTATAAATTTTATTAATTTTGTTGTTGCTGCTGAGACTACACACAGCAAAACGTACACCAATGCAACAGTTTCTACGTGTACCATTTAGTGACACTGATTACATTCTTCGAGTTGTGCAACCATTCTCACCCTCCTTTTCTGAGTTGTTCTTCCCGTATTAACAAAAACTCACTGCCCCCTAAGGTCTACTGAATTTTTTGAGAGGCAGCTTTCAGGATAGCTTTTCTTACTTCACAGAGTAGCTCTCTGACTTTACTGTGTGGTATTAAAAGATACGTCAGCTTCAGAACCTGCTTTTACTGTGTGGTATTAAAAAACATGTCAGCTTGCTTTTTGAGATTTCCTGGTCCTCCACTTTTATCCTCATCTTTGCTTTACTTGGTCTCTATTGGGCTCCATTTTGTTTCCGTGCCCAGCAACTTCTCCTCAGCGTGGGGCACCTTCCTGAAAGGAAGCCCTGGTAGGTCACCTTCAAGAGTTCCGGTAGCTCTACTGCTCCAGCCCCTCAGACCTTACAATAAGTGCCTTGTGCTCTCACACTATTGGAGAAGGCAAGTGCTTCTTCTATAGTTGTAGCTGCTGTTCTCAACTTGATCAGCTTGGCCTTTCAGTGAATACCTTTTGACTGTTTTGGAGTTCTTCACGTGTCACTGATTCTCTTTGCTGATATCACGAAGGTCTTGTGACTGCTATGGGTTTGTTCCTACAGGCTTACATTTTGGAGATCATTGGGATACCATTACACTTAGATTTGTTGTAAATGTTGTACTTGGGGTTTTGGTTTTGCTGTAAGTTGCTTTGTCCTTTTTCTTCTTTTTTGGTGAAAATATACATACCAAAGTATATATTGTTTCAACAAATTCCACATGTACTATTCAGTGACATTGTTTACATTCTTCAAGTTGTGTAACCATTCTTGATATCCTTTTCCAAATTATTCCATCACCATTAACATAAACTCATTGCCCCTAAGTTTCTCATCTAATCTTTAAAACTTTGTTCTCATGTCAGGATTGAAAAACTGTGCTGCTGCCACCATTTTCCCAGAATTCCCCTCAAGAAACTTTTTTATAATAGTCATCTTAAAAGACCATACACGCAATGGCATGCTTTTGGAGACATGACGTGTAACCACTTCTAACCTCTTCCACTGTTGCCACCATTGCTTTCTTTTACCTGGACTATTGTAACAGCTCTCCCCACCCCCCCAACTAGTCCTTCAGCCACGGTGGCCTCAAACCCACCACACAGGTTCTCACCTCAGGACACTTGCACCACTATCCCCTCTGCCCTAAACACTTTTCATTCTAAGTACCACATGGCTTGCTCCCTCACTCCTCTTGGTCTCTGCTCAAATTCATCTTCTCATAAAGGCCTTCTCTGACCACACGCTCCTCAATTGAAAAATAGAACCCTTATCCTCTGCCCATGCTTTCTTTTTCTTCATGATACTTGTTAGCACCTGATATCTTATATACTAATATTTTTAAATATTTTCCTATCCAGAATGAAAACTACATGTAAGTAGGAACTTTGTCTTGCTGTTTAATTCCTAATATCTAACATTAAACATTCAATAGAAATTTGTTAACTGACTGAATGAGTGGCTAAATAAATATGTAAAATACCTGACACCTAACAGTATGCAATATATTAGCTTTTTTCTTCTCTTGACAGGGAAAAGGAGAGATCCCTGGGGAATATCCCCCATGCTAGAAGAACTCACAACAGAAACAGAGGCATGGTCAGAAAAATAGAAGGAGCAGCAGGACAAAATGATGACATTAGAACCAAAAAGGGGGGTTGCTCAACTACGCCAAACACACAGAGCAGTCAGGGAGACCAGGAACCAATAAGAGGCTACAAGACTAGATATTTGGAAAATGCTGTAAAGCTTAGTGTTAGGTTAACAAATCTGGAAATCAGTTTTTCCACTTCTCAATTGTAGAGTCACATATTACAGAGTTGGCATCCTAAGAAAACTTGTACAACAGAAACTAAATCACAGAAAACCTAATTTCAATATAAAGGAAAACTCAGTTTTTGCTTGAAGAGTATTTGTGGGAAAAAAAATCTATTTAATGTAGGGAATCACAGAGTATTCACAAAAGTAAAAAATGTTTATGCATGACAGTGTTTTTAACATTGTGATTCCAGGGCAAAACGGAATCATGTGTTATACTCTGACAGGTTAACCAGAAAGATCAGTAGAGTTTTGAATCCAGGATAAATTATTTTCAGAAAAGGAGGAGCAACTTTCTGAATCTTTTTTTAAATGTTTCCATTAGCAACACTTGTCAGTATGATTGTGATCCCTATGACAATATTGAAGCTTCCCTGTGACAATAATAATAAAATGCTAAATTTTAAGTAATAATAAACTGCTAAATCCCCAAAATGTAACACTCCTAACCCCTCTCCACCAAAGGCTGATCTAGTTCAGAAATATGGTAAAAGTTCAGAAATGTCCTACGCTTGATATGCTGAAATTCGCTTTTCTTTGCAATTAATGGGCAGATTGTTTGGTTTATAGCTTATTGAAGCCATCCACGCCACTAGGGACTTACTCTTGCTGCGTTTTTGATCATTTATTTGCTCACTAGCAACTTTACATGTGAGGATGGGCAAGAAAAGAAAGGCAACTTAATATCTTTTTTACACATCAATGTTTAATAAAGACAGTAGAAATCAATGAACTAAAAATGAGGAATCTGGGTTACCTGCCAATGTTACCTGTCCATAGTCCCCACAACCACAGACCACACAAGTCTCAGCATCCCTCGGAAGCCAGCAGTAACCTCAGCAAGTAGGAGGCATCCCTATCTCAAAGTTTTGCGAAATAACAGACGAGGTGATGGAAGAAAACCTTCCCCGAGAGTAGGCCTTTAGAGGGAACCTTATCACATGCGGTTCAAACCGCGCTGAACGTTTGATCCTGGTCACTGTTGGCTGCACCGGGCCCCTCTCCCGCGACGGTCCCTCACACGCCGTGCGCAAAATTTGACTGGCTGAGTCGGCGGCCCCAGAGCCCTTTCCCTCCACCCCGAAGTCCTTCCCAAGACTTGAAACAACAAAGATCGCCCGAGCCAGATTACTAACGAGTAGCAGTCAAGGGAACCGAACCAGGAAGGGAGGGTCTGCAGGGCAGTGGGGACAGAGAGAGTGCTCTGCACCAGCGTCGCAGGCCGCCTCCCACAGACGCCGTGGTGCCTACAGGCCACCGTAGGTCCCGGCGGGACGGCGTAAGTCCCTGCGGGCTGCCTTGACTCCTGCAGGCCGCCGTAGGAGCGCCCTCAAGATGGCCACCGGGCTCCGCGTCCCCCGGCTCCCTCCCTGAGGTCCGGTCGGCGGGCGTACGGCGTAAGTCCTGCGTTCCGGCGCCAGAGCGGCCTAGAGGTGGGGAGCGGCCGGCCGCCGGCCCTGCGCACGCAGTCTCTCGGGGCGGGGCGCTGGGCCCCATCCGGGGATGGGCCCCGGCGCCCGCGTCGGTCCGGCTCTGCCCCGGCTCCTCCCTGCTCGGGCGGGCGCTCCGTCGTGTCCCCGCCCGTCAGTCCGCCCCGGCCGGGCTGGCCGCAGACGGGGCCTGGACGGCCACACAGTGAGCTCTAAGTCAGGAGGCGTCGGGAGGTGTCATCGCTGCCGCTGCCCCGCGACGGGTCCCGTGCTGCGTCGGGGCCGCGCGAAAAGGCGGCGGCACCATGTTCTCCCTCAAGCCGCCCAGACCCACCTTCAGGTCCTACCTCCTGCCTCCGCCCCAGGTAAACAACCCTCTCCCCGCGGCCGCTCCTCTGTTTGGTGCTTCCGGGGAGCCGCCGGGAGCAGGGACCCCTAGAGGCTGTGCTCCTCTCCCCGCCCCCCATCTCCAAGAAACGCGCCTTCTCGGGAGCCCTGAGCTGGCGCGGTGGAAAACTTGTGAAACTCTGCCGCAGCCGTTCTCTGCCCGAAGTCCTTGTCCGTAGTTTTACCATGTGAAGATATTCAAGAGAGCTTTCGTCGCTAGGTTTAGCTTCTTGCCTGGCCACGGTCCCCACTGTGACCGCCAGCATGATTGCAACCCATTAGCAACGCCTTGTGGACACCTGATAGAGGTTACCTGTTCATAAATGTGAACACCTGGAATCGGCACAGGCAGTTTTAATATTTTTATTGTCAGGCTCACAGATCGATGATGTGTAGAACTTAAAAAGAGATCGGTGAATGGGAAAGAATTTAAGGGAAAGGGAGTATGTGTCTGTCGCATGTGTTATCACTTAGCAAAAAGTTCGCCTTAGTATCTCACGGGGAAAAAATAAGTTGATTTTTATTTTGCGAATGTGTTTCAGACTGATGATAAGATTAATTCGGAACCGAAGATTAAAAAACTGGAGCCAGTCCTTTTGCCAGGTAAACATTAGAGTTCTAACAGATACTTTAGAAATGTGTTTTGTCTAAGATTTTTCTACCGACTAGTACCGTGTGGTTAACATTCTTCCTGTATTTATTTTAAAACTTCTTCAGTTAAGTCTAATGACTGAGGGGGAAAAAGAAATTAAAATGTTGGGTAAAACTAAACAGCAACAAAAAATAACAATTGATTAGTGTTTATAATTGAAAGTTTAAAGCATCATAGAAAACTGCCGATAATATAGCTACCTTGTAAAGACTTTTCTTTTTTGCCTCCTGAAACGCTCTTTTTGAATGGCAGTGTATCTGTAATTGCTTAGGCAGTGAAAATCCTCTTTACCCTTTATGTCTGTCTTCTGCAACTTAATGCATTAATGGTTAATAATCAGTCATCATTTTTAATGAGTTTTAATAGTAGGAAAAGCAGCCTTTATTATGTCTGTGTCTCTATACCGATAAGAAGGCTTGGTGAACTTTGAATTACTTACTTGGCAATTACTTTCTGCAGTTGTCAGCGGTATTTGCAAATTTGCTTGTTTCATCTTAGAACAGGGTTTTTCCCAGCAGTGACACTATTGACATTTTGGGCCAGATGATTCTTTGTTGGGAGGTGGGTGTTGTCCTGTACATTGTAGGATGTTTAGCAGCATTCCTGACTCTACCCACTAGATGCACCCCTCCTTCCCCTCCAGGTGAATCAACCACAGATGTCTCCAGACATTGCCAGATGTCCTCCCTCTGTGGGGCAGATCTCCTAGTTGAGAGTGACTGCTTTAGAGCAAAATTTACCTTAGAGGTAGAGAAGGTGATTGATGGGAGGCGGGAGTTTAGTTTTAGGACATACAAAAAATCATTCCTTGTGTAATAATTAGGAAAAGTCAATTGTTTAATATGATTATTGGGAGGAGGATCCAGATAGTTAGGAAAACCTGTTTAAAACCTGAAATATAATCAAATACCAGCTATTAACATTTAAAATCTCAGTTTATTACTCACTGCTAAATTTAGTAATGGTTAGAACTTTGTAGGTGGTAATTGAAAAAATATGGAAACTTTAATATTTGTGCTTTAAATTTTTAAATAGTAAGTAGGGACAAACACATTAAAAGCATCAACCAGTGGTTCCGTATTTTAGATACTAACTCTTAAAAAATATTTTAACTTTATTATTGTTAATGCTTTTCACCCAAACCCTGTGTACTCATTAACCCTTTGTACTTTTCCTCAAAGTGATAATAGAATTAATAAGTAACTCTTGCTCCCTGTGGAGCCCTGGTGTCGAAATGGTTAACTGTTTGTCTGCTAACCAGGAGGTGGGCAGTTCGAATCCACCAGCCGCTCCCTGGAAACCTTATAGGGCAGTTCTGCTCTGTCCTGTAGGGTCGCTGTGAGTCAGAATCGACCCCGCTGCAATGGATTTTTTTTTGTTTTTTTTTTTTTTCTCTCAGTGTGTGCTCTGTTTCAGTCTTGGTCACTCCAGGCATTTGAAGACAGTTATGGGAAACAGTGCTCATCTTGAATGAGTGCCTGCAAGCTGTTGAACTTTGACTTCTTTACTTTGTCTGAACAGGCTGGGTTCTTAGGCTTTGATCCCCCCTCCCAATAGTATGATTTAACACTGATAAAACACCATGATCTTAGCTACGAATGATAGTGCTTGATTTTTTTTAAATTAACTTTTATATTTAAGATATGCTTATGAAAAGTTTTACTAAAATATTGATAAGCTTAAAGAACTTTTTTATCAAAGGGTCATCCCTTCTGTAGAGTTACTAAAAACTCACTTTTCTGCTAAAAAATCATAATTTTCTAGGGAAGATTTTAAACCCAGTTCCTGACTCTAAGTGGTTTACTTGTCCTAGAAATAGATGCTAAATCTGGATCTTCTTTTAGTTGCCTGTTAAGGAATTCTCTGACCTGTATTACTTTTTCTTGCATCGAATTCCACATCGCATTTGAAGTCTATATACTCATACATGATTGCTCTCTCACCCAGTGTTGTTTTCACCTTTTTCCTTACACAGCATTTCACTAGTCCTATGTTATCATGTCTTTTGCCCTCCTTCCCAGCCACCCCTTCTGTTCTTACCTTCTCATCCTAGCCTATCCCACACACTTTCTGGTTGTGTTCTGTCTGGCCGCCTTGTTGTAGTCTCTGTTCCTGGCTTCCCCTCTCATATCACATCTCTGCTGCTAGAACCTCTCTGCTGCTAGAACCTCCATTGCTCTTCCTTTGGGTGTGCAGCCTATTCTACCTGTGAGATCTGGAAGACATGTGGAAGTAACTGAAACATTGGTGATCCAAAGACCTAGGCTAGGTTAGGGCTTTTACTAACAGGACTTGAGTAGTAGAGTTCTGCCCTTCATTACAGTCAGAAACGGAGAGAAAACTTGGCTAAGTCACCTGTGTCCTTACACAGGCACACAGGACAAGAAGTAATTATTCAGGGATATAGTATTGCATGTCATGTTTTGCCATGATACCTTGGGTTCAAGGATATCCTAATTCCGTTGCCCAAACTTTGAACTTTTAATTCAATAAGCAGATGAAAATTAGAACACAAAATCAGTTGTTTATTTGTGTGTAGTCACCACGTGCTCAGTTGAGACTTAACAAGGTAAATTAAAACTGCCCCTCATCTTTTATTATGTGAAGAAAATATCAGGAAATGACTGGTGATTTAATTTAGATTATGGTTTATGTTAGTAATTTTCAGCTTCCCAGGTTCATATCACTCCTTGGGATATAAATTATACCTAATTCAACTTTGTGGCCTGGCATGCCTAGCATAGTGCCTGGAATGTGATAGAGACAGATGTTATTGACTAAAGGAATGAAAGGACCCCTCAGACCACTTGCTTAAAACTGGTAGCATAGACACATGTACACACGTACACACACACACACCGACTCCCAGATTTAGTAGCAGGAGGAAGACTGTTACTTTATGCCCTGCATCTCTGCTTGCTCTTAGAGCCATACTTCTCAAGAGAATTATATCAGAGCCTGAAGTTGAAATATAGTATTCTTCCTTGGGTGGTGCAAATGGTTAATGTACTGGCCTGCTAAGCAAAAGTTGGAAGTTCAAGTCCACCCAGAAGTACATTGGAAGGAAGTCCTGGCAATCTACTTCTGAAAAATCAGTCATTGAAAACCCTATGGAGCACAGTTCTGCTCTGACACACATGGAGTCAATATGAGTCAAAATTGACTTGACAGCTGCTGGCTTTTGTCAAAGTAGCTAGCCTTTGCCTAGGGTTTCTCTCCATCTTCCCATTATTACACAAATCTCATTCTTTTAACAATTGAATTGTATATGTGTAAAATTGCCCCAATCCTTTTTGAAAAGTGTGTGTGTTTGTGTGTTCCAGCATATGTTTGTTAAGAGCAAGTAATGCCAGACTATGCTTATGTCTCTTTTTTGATAGCTCCTGGATTGGTAGATCTGTTCAGTGAGCATATGCGTGCCTCCTGGGTGTTAGGCTATACTAGGCAGGAGAGTGCTGGAGGCTGGTGTACCTGGATCGCAGCATGGCCTGGTGCAAGCTCCAAGCTGCCTGTGGGCCAGGGAGAAGAATGTGGCCTGGATCAATGGTTCCCAGATTCCAACCTGGGCCTGGCATCATGTCTGGATGAAGTTTTTACCAGTCCTTGGTCAAAATGAGAAAATTAGGAAGAATGCAGATTTTTCATGAAGCTAAATTTATTTCATTCAAAGGATTGTCCTTTATTCTAAGATCATGCTGTTCCTACTTCTTTGATGTAGGTATGTTCTTTTATTAAAGATGGCAATACTGTAGATGTGGCCTTATTTTTTTTTTTTTTAATTGGCACACTAAAAGATTGGGAACTCTGTATTGGTGCCTGAATTATTTTATAGTATACTTGGTTTGTGAAATCTAAACTGAAAGCCAGTGGATGAGATTCTTAGATTACAGGTACAGTTTAATGAGCAGACACACACAGAACATCAGTTGTTTTGTCTGCCCAGCAGTCCTTCCCCCGTCTTCTGAAAAATGTGCCCTCCTTCTTTTGACAAGTTGGTCTTCCCCATCTCCTGCCAACCTCGGGTTCTAGTGTGGCCAGCAAGCATAATAACCCACCCCAGACTGCAAGCGTGAGCACAATCTTCCTCTGGATTTTTTCAGATTGAAGCTAAGGGAAGAGATCCTGTTTGGTAAATGCTGCCAGTGGCCATAGCTCCAGAAAACCTGTCCAAAAGAGTGAAGTCAGTGTTGAGGGAGGCAAAGGCAAGACACTGAGAGAGTGTTGGATGGTATTCGAGTTCCTAGGGTCCATTTTCCTTGAGGCCCAGCTAACACAAAAGCCACAGAATCCCCCTTTTTGCTAAACCAGTTCCAGGTGTGTTTCTGACATTTCCAACTAAGATCCTTAACTAATATAGCTTATAGATTAATTCTCATAATAACCCTATCAGGTAGGATACCAGTTTATCTTCAGGTGACAGATGAGAAAACTGTAGCTTACAGAGGTTAAGTAGTTTGCCGAGTGTTATGCAGCTAGTAAGGGCAGAGGCAGGGTTCAGGACCCAACTCCAGAGCTGTGCCTTTAACCACCAAGCATGGCTGACCTGACTTGCTGAGGGCAGAGCACAGATTTATGCCTTTGGAGCTGATTGGAAATCAGCCTAAAGGGAGTTCTCTAGTGAGGTAAAAAGAGCTCTGTCCTTGGCTCTGCCCTTTTCACAGCAGTGACAGATTTTGACCCAGCTTGAGGAGGAACTTTAAAACAATTTCAGCTGCCAGAAAATAGAATGTCTTGGGAGGCAGTGGACTTCCTGTGGCTGGCTGTGCTTAAGCAGAGGCTGGTTGAATGCCATTGGCTTTGTAATGAGCATGTGAGATTTGCAATGAGTTGAATTTGATGGCCTTTGCTCTGTTCTGACCCTTGGAACATGATCGTTCTAAGTATCTATGAGGTACAATGGGCTCAAACATAACGATTGTGAGGATGACGCAGGACCAGGCAGTGTACCTGG